AAACTATCTGAAGTTAATAAACCAAGACATAAAAATAAAAATAATGTTTTTATATAGCGCTACCTAATGGCACATTCTGTGATGATTGAAATACTTCATTTCTGCATTGTCCAATACAGTAACTTCTAGCGACAACTGGCTTTATGCATTTTACATACAGCAAATGAGGCTGAGAACCCAAATTTTGGCTTTTAGTGGGAGGCAGAACCACTGAGCTAAATGCCCGGCCCTCAGTCTTACTCACTTTTAACTTAAGGCATAACGTGTGGCTGCTGGGTCTCACACTGGGCAGCACAGATGAAGAGGCATGGAGGAAGCCACCCTGAAAGAGAAGCCACTGGCAGTTTCTCTCTGGGGACTGGGACAGCATGAAGCTGCTTCTCTCATAAAATCTGCACTGTGTGGTGTGGAACTTTCTGTATGTATTACTCAGATAAAAATAAAGGGCCGGGGATGTAGCTCAGTGGTAAAGTGAATTCCTAGCATGTGCAAGGCCCCAGGGTCAATACCCAATACTACAAAAAAAATTTTTTTTAAATCTAATTTTAGGGCCAGGGATTTAGCTCAGTGGTCCTGCTGCCTGCCTCGCAAGCGCAAGGACCCGAGTTCAATCCCTGGTACCCCCAAACAAACAAACAAATAAAAAAATAAATAAATACAATTTAATTTTAGAAAAGAAAGAAAAGCTTGAAGTATATTCTCAAAACTGCTAAGAGATTATCACTGTATGGTAGGTTTATAGTGATTTTCCCTTTCTTCCTTTAAAAAAAGTTTACATGTCTGTCTGGCAAATATTTTCTATGTGCCAACTATCACATAACTTCTCAAAAGAACTGCAGGATAATGAAAGAATGTATATAATTCCTTATTCTTAGAGAACTTCCAAATTAAAGGATGAATCAAAATGTCTACAGCATAAACTATAAATCAGTAAGGGTAACTTTTATTTATTTATTTTTAGTAAGGGTAACTTTTAAATAAATTTAAAAATAAATAGTATGTCTGCAGTCAGTGGAATGCTATCTGCTTAAAGTGGTCACCTTAGCGAACTATTTACTACAATACTTTAAGAAGACATGTAATAGTTTTAAGTGCCTAGCTATTAAAAAAAAAATCAGAGCCAGGTGTAGTAGCACATGCCTGTAATCCCAACAATTGGGAGACTGAGGCAGGAAGATTGCTGCAAGTTCAAGGCTAGCCTAAGCCATACAGTGAGTTCAAGGCCAGCATGGACTACATAGCCAGATTGTGTCTCAAACAAACAAATAAACAAACAAACCCACTTTTCAAAGCACAGAGATACTCCATCTTGGATGACATTCAAAATAAACTATGCAGGCCAGGTGTGGGGCACATCTGCAATCCCAGAACTAGGGGTAGAGAGGCTGAGGCAGGAGGATGGCAAGGTTGAGTCCAGCATGGGCAACTTTACAAGACACTATCTCAAAAAATAAAAGTAAAAAGGGTCTGAGATGTAGCTCTGTGGCGAAGGCCTGAGTACAATCCCCAGAACCAAAAAGATCAGCTACGTGGGCTCTGAAAGCAAATTAACAAAATTATGAGCTCCTAAGGAAAATGCTTTTAAAAAACAAAAACAACTAAAAGTAATCAAAATAAAATGCCTATAAACCTGACAATTGATAAAAAATCAGCAATGGCTGAAATGAGAATGAAGCCCAAAGTTCCAACTGCCCCAAGTGGCAACCCTTGGGCAACCACTCAGAACCCCTCAGCTACCTGGAACTGGCTCAAAATGCAGGGTGTGGTAGGCAGAACACTGTCAGGAAACCCCAGCTCTGACACCCACAAGGTTACCTAATTAATTTGATCGCTTTCCTCCATCTGGTCTCCAAAAAGGCTTCTGGTTATTATTCCCTAGACAGGGAAATCCCAAGCTTAAGGGAAATGCCTAGAACAAAAGGTAATACTTTTTAAACCAGAATTCCTGCGGAGTCCTTATACCAAGTGTACGGTTTACTTACTAGAGCTACAACACTCTGCATTTTTTAACATGTCAAACTTCCTTAAAGCAGGAAAGCAAAGCTAAAATAATGCCTGGAGCAATTAGAGAACTGGGATAAAGAAGCTTTCCAAGTGACTTATTAGAATCTTGTAAAGAACAGTCCTCACAGTACACTTCCTATATTCATCATCAGCCAGAAATGACGGTACAAAAAATTCCATCGACACTAGGACTTGTTTTTTGTTGTAAAAATAAATCCAGACAATGGTAAAGGGCTTAGTGTAGGCACTTGAATTACCAATGCATTAGAATCTTTCAGCATTCGGCAGCAATAGGAAGGAGTAAGTAGGCCTGAGATAAGTGAAAACATTAAGTTGCCATAGTAATTTGCATGGTTACTCTAAAATGGCAAGGGTCGAGGTAAGGAAGTAGGTCAATATTTCTGCTTAACTAGTTTTATTCCTTAGTTGCCTTTTCTTGTCTAAAACAACATCTCCCTTCTTCCCCATCCCAACAGAAGCAAGAAGGGGAAAAACCAGATGAGCTTTTCAGGAAAAAAAAAAAAAAAAAGAGGGTGGGAGAGGTCTAGGTCGAAAGAAGGTGAATCAAGAGGAAAGCCAAATAAAAATCTTACCCATCTCACCAGTAACCTGGGACTACCCCCAGGGAAAGCAGTTGCTGATCAAGGGCACCAGTGCTAAGAAACTGTTGCTGGGTTACTACAAATCAGAAACTGCCATTTTTGCCTAGCAGTTTAAGTGCATCTAATGGAACACTTGGGAATGCATTATTAACAGCTTGGGGGTGGCAATCGTGGTGGGTAAGGAGAAATACTCTAGCATGGGAGAAATCTGAGGCTCCTAGCCAGAGGCGTTCTTTGCTGGTTGGAAAACTATGAACACCACTGTAAGATGCACGAAAAGACAGGACGGAAGCTCAGGGGTTCATTTTAAAAATAAGCTGATTTTGTTCACATGGCAACATAGAGCTACTTGACACTCAGATGTGAGATGGCTACTAATCCGAGGAGAAGGCAACTGGTCTTAGCTGGTGTGCACAGTGCCAGAGCTCACTGTCAGCTATTCTAGCTGCAAATGCCAACAACAAATGTGGGATGCAGGCTAAGGAAAAAGCATTTGAAACCAGGTGCTGTTCCACTTTTCTGCAGCTGTTCATGTCTATACAGGTATAAAAAAGGACATTACTAACAATTTTAACCATCTCGTATGAAGGTCCCAGTATCCTTTAAAATAATAGAAAGGATAATCCCGGGCCAGGAATTTAGCTCAGTGGTTCCGCTGCCTGCCTCACAAGCACAAGGTCCTGAGTTCAATCCCCAGTACCAAAAAAAAAAGATAATCCTTTAATAGGGTCAAAAAAGCAGTCATTTTTTTCTTTCTTTTTTTTTTTTGGTTCCAAGGATTGAACTCAGGACCTTGCACTTACTTATGAGATAGGTAGTGGAACAGACAGCCGGTTGAACGACTGAGCAAATCCCTTTTTGGGGGGAGACAGGGAACACTAAGTAGTTCTGGCTGTCCTTGGACTCATTATGTAACCCAGGCTTGGTTACACAGTGAATTTGTGGTGATCCTTCTGCCTCAGTTTCTCGAGTGCTGAGATTACAGGTGTGCCCCACCATACCTGGCTTCAAACACTAATTTCTAAGTATCCTACTTCAGTGTCCAGAGGCGAGTCTAGGCTGCCATGGGAACCATTCATATTGAGCAGTGGGTTCCAATCCAGCAGCCCACCTAGCAGAGTTCACAAAGGACAGGAAAGATTCAGTCTCTAACTTGAGCTCATGTTTTTAAAAACAAGGCAACACCTGCAAATTGTACCGTGTTGCTTCCACACATCTCTACTCCTCTGCTCTATGGGAGCAGGGAGAGAAATAAGGCAACTTCTAAGGTGGCTGCAGAAACCAGGGACCACCAAGACCTTGGAAGAACAGCTCTCAAAACCAGCTTTTGTACGGACTAGGAATGAAAACTTGTAAGAACAAGTCCTAAGCCACCACGAATACTATGGAAAGAAGAAACACGTGCTAAGCAGCTGTACATAAGCTTAGAGTAGGTGGCCCTACACAATTAAATAGCCAGATGTGGTGGCACATGCCTGTAATCCAGTATTGGGGTAAAAAAATACACACACATGGCCAAAGAAGTTAGCCACTCATGGAGAGAAATGTGAGGACAAAGATGCTGTTCTATTACCACTTCCTAGCACAGCCCAGAAAAGCCCATTCAGCCTGGCTGGCTCAGAGGCAGTTTTCCTTTACATACAATAGTATGGAAGATAGAAAGGCACTTATGAACAAATCATTTTTTAAAACTTTTCTATTCCAGCATACAAAGCAAAGAGAACAGACTAATGTCTAATCACTTACCTTAAAACTGGTCAATATTCTAGTGCCAATCTTAAAGGCAAAAAAGAACCCTCCATATGAATGATCTTTAAGTGTTAACACATCAATAAACTGCAATGATGACAGCTGGGGATACAAGTCAGTGGGAGAGCATTTGCCTTACCATATGTAAGGACCTGAGCTCAGTCCCCAGTAGTGGAGGGAGAAAAAGAGAGAGGGAGAGTGGTGAGGGAGAGAGAAAGAGAGACCGACAGAGACCCCAAAACTTTTAAATTCATCAGGAACCTCAAGAGGCAGCTACTAAAAGGTAAGCAGCAGTGGTAAAGAAAAAGAAACAGACTTTAATTTCAATTCCCGAGGAATGTCCAGTAGAATCACACTTGCAAAGTATTTCTACAGGCCACACATTACCTGCATTTCTAATTCCTAAAAGATGCATTTCTATCTGCTAAATAAGACTCTCTGGGTTCCACAAATCCAAAGAGGAAGTCCACAGCCATCACAGTCAGCCTTCCAGGACTGTGTTGTTTACAACAACTTTCCATTTTGCTATAAGCATTTGAGAATAAACTTCAGGGAAATGGGACAATAGAGATTTAGTTTATCTGTGACCTAATAAAACCACCATATGCTGGTGTTTGAAGAAGCCAAAGCAAAGTCTCCACTTACTGGTACTGTGACATCATCATAAAAACTCCAGGCTAAGGCCCATCTCATTGTCCGACCTTGACAGAACTCAGTGAAGGTGACTTTAGGGACCTGAAACCAACAGAGTTTCTCATTAAAATGAAGTTGTTGTGATGATATTTCCAGCTACTGCCTTCTACTAAATTATAATTAGTTTTTAATTAGTTAAACAGTATTATCCAAAAAAAGTTATACGCAGCTATATAATAACCAATAAAAAAACTCAATGAAAAATTTTCCTCCTGGAAAACATTAAGGAATATTTACAAATGTAACTCAAAAGTCCAAACGGAAGAAACACTTAAAATTACACTTTGGACAACCATTCATAAAATAACTGAAGTTGTTTCTGCCTTCCTTTTCAACAAAGATAGCTGATCAAAGCTTGGATATACAAAGCTATGGAATCTATCATGTTTTAGGAAAGAAAAAGGAACCACTTTGTAGCTTTTATAATCTTACCAAGAAACAGTGTTTGGGTAAAACAGGGCAAGTAGAATGTCTAAGAGTAAACAGTGATAGAAAGCTGGTTTCTGCTCAGTGGTAGAGCACTGGTTTAGTGAGCAAGCTAGCAACACAAACTTGGATTCTACCACTGACCCTCTTCACTAAAAACCATTGCCTATTCCTGCCAAACACCACACACTGAGAGGGAGGTGGTACAGGGAGGATTTATTTTCAATCTGTCTTTTAAAACAGGATCAAGAGGTAAATGATACGATGGACTTATGGCAGTGTTTTGGCTCTAGCTGATTTTCAACAGCTAGCTATGTAGCCTACAGCAAGACCCTTAACCTCTCTAGCCTTGTTTCTATATTTATAAAGTTAGAGGTGTGGTCTGTGGTAGATCTGGGGGGTTATTTTTATTTATTTTTTTATTTTTTGGTTTTTTGAGACAGGGTCTCACTATGTAGTTGAGACTGACCTGGAACTCACTATGTAGCCCAGGCTGGTCTCGAACTCACAGCGATCCTCCTGCCTCAGCCTCCCGAGTGCTGGGATTACAGGCGTGCGCTACCACGCCCGGCTAGGGGGGTTGTTTTTTGAGATAGGATCTCATTATGGTATGTAGTTCAGGCTGGCCTTGAACTCACTATATAGCCCCATCCGACCTCCAACTCATAGTAATCTTCCCACCTTGGCCTCCAGAGGGTTGGACTACAGGTGTGTGCCACCACACCTGGATGACATCATGATTCTTGATTTCTGATTTCTCACATTCTACTCATCCTGTTTCTTTCCATCTTCCTTCTGTTCTTTATGTATTTATTGAGACAGAGTCCCACTATGTAGTTCAACCCAGCCTTGAACTCACTAGGCAGTCCAGGCTGGCCCGGAACTCGTGCTGATCTTCCTACCTCTGCCTCCCAAGTGCTGGGATTACAGGCCTGCACCACCACACCTGGCTGTTACAATTTTTATCTATCTTAGTAACATATAAAAAGTTTCTTCTAGCCCTAAAATTACAGAATTTTTTTAAAAAGAAAAGACGTACAAAAACTGAAGAACTAAACCAAAACGCTACCTTCAGAATTTTGAAATATAAAGGAAAACTCTGTACTCAAACTACTATCAAAAGTCACCACACCAGCCAGGCATGGTGGCACACGCTTGTTATCCCAGCATTCGGAAGGCTGAGGCAGGAGGATTGTCCCAAGTTTGAGGCCTACCTGGGCTACACAGAGAGTTAAAGGCCAGCCTGAACTATATAGAGAAACCCTGTCTCAAAACAACACAACAACAACAACACCCCCACACACACAAAAAAGAGTCACCACACCGGAATGATAATGACCAAGCCTTACCCCTTGGATGCGGAGCTCTTCCTTCAGAGGAGCCAGGCTGCATTTTTTTCCCAGCATGCAGCTATACCACCTAGGAAAGAAACCAAGCAAATGAACACTTTACGTGGTGATATTCTGAAACACTTTACTCAGCCAGCTGGGCATCATGGTAAACACCTGTAATCCCCAAAATATGCACGGCTGAGGCAGGAGTATCAAGTTCAAGCCCAGCCAGGACAACTTTGCAATTTAGTGATATACCCTTTCTTAGAAAAGTTTAAATTTGCATCACTCAACTGAACAAAATGAGAACAGTAGCAAACAAATACGGGGTTAAATCACAAGTGATAATAACATGAACTATATATAATGTATTTAGACAAAGATTGAATCTAGTAGTAGAAAACAAGCCCAAAGCAACTTAAAAAAAAACAAAACCGAAATTCCATTAGCCTGTCCAATGCCCAAGGGCTGTATATATTTGGAAAAAGAATAAAGGAGACAGGTCTTATCTGTCATGTTCAGAATGCAGGCCATTTAGCTTTAGGATGGAAGTTAGTTAATGAATGTAAACCACCACCACCAAAAAAAAAATGTAAATACTCCCTGCACCATACTAAGGGAATCTAAAAACTTGCCTGAGCTTGTCCTGTGTCCTGACTTGCAAATGATTTTATTATACTTTGAACAGATAATAAAATCAATTTATTCTACAGTAAGTACAAATCCAAAAAAGTAAGTATGGAGAGGATGAGTTGAACTGGCTGAAAGTTAAAGGAACAAAATCTACTTCAGATTATTCTGAAAGCGCTGGGGATTTAGCTCAGTGGTTCTGCCATCTGCCTTGGACCCAAGTTTGATCACCGGTACCTAACATAAATGAATGAATGAATAAAAGATTATTCTTAAATTTGCAAAGTGTAAAGTTTATATGGGAAACCTGCTTCAACTCATGAAGGATTAATTTGTTCAGGAATCATCCTTCTACCATAAACAACGAGTAAACAGAATAAAATACATGAAACAACCATTTTTTAGTCAGTGACAACCGATAATGCATATAATCTCAGAGAGAAATAAACAAGGTGACTCCTACAATTCCAAAGTGTGCCGCTTAAAGAAAATTTCCAGTGCACAGAAAAGAAACTCAAACATAGCCCTGAGGTCTTACTGCATCTATGAGACTGAGATAGAATTCAGAAAAGTTGAAGCAGTTAGGATTTGCGAAGCAGTTAGGATTTGCGAAGCAAATTAACAAGAGCAAATCAAACCCAGGCAAGAAGAAAGAAATAATAAACAGAATGGAAACTAATGAAAGACAAAACAGAAAAACAATAGAGAAGAATGATGAAATATGTTTTTTTTTTTGAGACAGAGTCTTGCTATGTAGTTCGGGTTGTTCTTGAACTCTACAAAGCCCAAGCTGGCTTCAAACTTTAGGCAATCCTCCTACCTCAGCCTCTTGAGTGCTGGGACTACAGGCAAATGCCACCACGCTCAGCTATGAAAAAAATTTTTTTAAACATTGAGACAAGGTTTTGCTACTATATAGCCCAGACTGGCCTCAATTTAGAGATCTTCCTGCCTCTGCCTCTCAAGTGCTGGGATTATAGGCATGTACCACCGGGCTCAGCTAAATAATTTTAAATCAAGAAAAAAAGAAGCCTGGGAGGCTGGGGCAGGAGGATTGCTAGTTTGAGCTCAGCCCAGACAACTTAGTAATCTAATGACATCATTTCTAAAAAAAAAAAAAATTTTAAAGGGGGCGGCAGGGATTTAGCTTAGTGGTGCTGCCACCTGCCTCACAAACCCAAGGTTCCAAATTCAATCCCTGGTACCAAGTAAATAAAAAAATAAATAAATAAATTTTTAAAATTTAAAACGGGGGCTAGAGATGTAGCTCAGTGTGAAGGTCCTGGGTTCAACCGATATCCGAACTGAAGAGGAGAAATTACCACAGACCCTACAGACATTAAAAGGCTAAAAAGAAATGTAAATAATTTTTATCATTGAATGTCATAACTAAATGAAACAAATTATTTCAAAACATTACTGGGGCTGGGGATTTAGCTCAGTGGTTCTGCCACCTTCCTTGTAACCACAAGGTCCTGAGAGTCTGATCCCTGGTACCCCCGCCAAAAAAATTTTTTTTTAACAAACTTACGCAGACATAAACAGATAAACAGTTCATGTCAATTAAAGTAATTAAAATTTATATTAAAAAACCTCCCTAGACTAAGCCATTTCAACTAGTAAATTCTACTAAACATTTAAGGAAGAATACTGATTCTATATAAACCAGTCCAAAAATCTTAAGAGGAACAAACACTTTCCAACTCATTTTATAAGGATAACATTACTCTGACAAAGACATTAAAAAAGCACTACAAACCAGTAGTCTTCATGAACACAGATACAAAAATTCTTAAAGGGAGAGAAGGCAGGAGCTACTGACGAAGGGTACAAACTTTCAGGAAGAACAAGTTTTGTTTTTTGTTTTTTTGGTACTGGGGATTGAACTCGGGTCCTTGCACTTGCAAGGCAGACAGCAGAACTGCTGAGCTAAATCCCTGGCCAGGAAGAACAAGTTTTAGCAATATACCACACAGTAAAGTTCATGAGTTAGTAATAATGTACTGTGTATTTCAAATTGAACCAATGGAAGACCGCAGGATGGCTCAGTGGTAGAGCACAAGCCTAAGCATAGGCAAAGCCTTGGGTTCAATCCCCAGCGCTGAGAACAAAACAAAACAAACAAAAGCCTACACCTGGTAGTGCAGGTCTGAAACTCCACCTGTTAGCAATGCTGAGGCAAGAGGGTCATACGAGCCCAGGAGTCTGGGACCATCCTGGACAACAGATAAATTACTTTGTTGATTCTTGCTTGGGTTAATTAACACCTTTCCTTTAAAGCAAGCACCACTTTCCCTAAACTCGCTAAACACATGCAAAAGACTGAATCTAGATTCATATCTCTCACAAACTAAACTAAAATCAAAATGGCTCAAATATCTAAATATTAAAAAAACAATCTGCTGGAAGATAAAAGAGGTGAGACTTTTAACAATACTGGAGTAGGCAAGGACTTTCAAAACAAAACCCCAACTGCACAAGAAATAACACAATCAACAAATGGAATATCAAATTTAAAAGTTTTGCCGGGCATGGTGGTGCACACCTATAATCCCAGCATTCAGGAGGCTGAGGCAGGAGGATTGCTATGAGTTTGAGACTAGCCTGGGCTACCTAGTGAATTCCAGGTCAGTCTCAACAGCATAGTGAGACCCTGTCTCAAACCCACGCCCCCAAAAATTAAAAGCATAGAAAACAACCAACAGAATGAACAGACAACAAACACAACAGGAAAAAGTTTTGCCAGCTATTCCTTGGACAGAAGACTATCTAGAATATATAAAGAACTCAAAAGAATTAGACCCCCCCCATAAAAGAATCAATCAAAAATGGACAACTGAAATGAACAGACACCACAGAAGAGGTACAAATGGCTAATAAATACATGAAAAAATGTTCAACATCTATGACTATCAGAGAAATGCAAATGAAAACACTAAAATTCCACCTTACTCCACAAAGAATGTCTATATTGTATTCAAAAAATCAAATAATAAAAATTCTGGCAAAGCTGTGGGAAAAAGGAATCCTTATACAGTACTGATAGAAATGTAAACTAGTGCAACCACTATGGAAATTAGTATGGAGATGCCTAAAAAAATGAAAACTAGAAATTCCATTTAACTCAGCTATATCCTTTCTAGTTATCTTCCTGAAAGAGTTAAACACATTATATATTACAATGATACATACATACCCATGTTTACAGTAGCACAGTTCAGTCAAATCCTGGAATTAGTCTATATGTTCATCAATGAATAGATTTAAAAATGTATTTATAAACAATGGAGCCAGGGATTTAGCTCAGTGTTTCTGCTGTCTGCCTTGCAAGCACAAGGTCTGGAGCTTGATACCTGGTACCAAAAACAAAAACAATGGAGTACTATCCTGCCATAAAGAAGGATAAATGTGGGTCATCTGTAGAAAAATGGATGCACCTCAAGGACATAATGCTAAGTGAAATAAATTAGACACAAGCTTAAATACTGCATGGCTTCTCTTATATGAGAAACCTAAAACAAAATAAATGAAAGAGCAAAATAAAAAACATAATACAGCCAGGCATGGCACTGCATGCTTGTAATCCCAGCACTTGGGAGCTGAGGCAGGAGGACTGCTGAGAATTTGAGGCCAGCCTGAACTACATAGTGAATTCAGGGCCAGCCTGAACTACAAAGCAAGACCCTTTCTCAAAAAACATACCAAACAAACAGGTAATAGGAAGTAGGGATTAGATTTTCTGCAAATGGGAAGAGGACCAAGAGATGGGGGTGTGTGTGAAAAATGAATTAAAATGTTATATACATGTATAAATTCCCCATGAGGAATCATTATGTACTACAAACATACTAATAAACATTTTTTTAAAAATTAGCATTCCTGCACAGATTAAGATCAAGCCACCAGAAGCCAAGGAAATGTACACACCAAGACAGTAGGCCTGAAAAAAAAAAAAAAAAGATAAAGGAAACCAGATATTTAGGTAAGTAAGGCTAGTAATAGTTAAATTGATCATTGATGCATACTATAAACTTAAAGGTTATTTCTTTTAACCTATGTTCTAAACTGAACTGCACTGCAGATTTTTAAAGATTTAATTTAATCAAGATACTTACTGTTTTCTCCAAGTTACACTTCTTACTGAAAAAGCAGAAGTCACTGGATGTATTAAGAACCCTGTTGTAGCTTCATATTTAAAAGTGCTCACCCCCTATTACCTAGCTACTCTCAACAGGCAACTTGTGACAGCTAATCAAAATGCAAGCCAAAAAAAGGGAACAAAAGGCAGGCCTAGTTACCCAAGAGACTCCAAACCCATTACACTATTTTAATGATGAGAGGAGCACGCTACTCATTACAGCATTTAGGAATTCCTCTGAGATGGTAGGTTTCAAGAAAAATTATTTTGAAATAATTTCAAACCTACAAGAAAGAGTTGCAAGATTAGTGCCAATGACT